TTTATGTTGGACACCATCCCGCCTGCAATCTATTGAATGGGGTTTCGGGTAGTATATTTGATAGACATTTTAACTAAAGTTCCTGTCATGATAAAAACTATTTTACTGCACTCAGCGCCCCCCCCCCCCCCCCCCCCCCCCCGGGGTCCGTAGCACCAAGCGCCGTCCCAAAATTCCACCGTCTGCGAACCCACTATTTTTATAATGGCATAAATGCTATGTGGGATCTCAATATCTCAGCTCTGGAAGGGTCTAGAGCATTCATTTTTGCACTCAGGTCTAAGAATCAGAATCCAGAGTTTCAAGAAGATCAGAGAAACTCAAAATTTCAACCTGAAAAAAAAAAAAAAAAAAAAAAACGATAGGGGCACCCCTGTCGTTTTTTTTTTTTTTTTTTTTTTTTTTTCGGGTCAAAATGCTGAGATATGGACATCCCACGTAGCATTTTTCAAGCTTGAAAACCACATGTCCAAAATCCCACACTCTAAAAACTCCTGGGTTATTTATTCAACCCATTTTCTAGGTTATTTGTGTTGGGTTAAAATTATGGGTTATTATTTCAGAGAGAGTAACCATTTTCTGGGTTATATGTCTAATATTTTGACCCAATTCCTGGGTTGTTTGGGTTTCTTGGTTATTTTCCAATGAGTAACCCATGTTCTGGGTTATAGGATTGTCTCTCTCGATCTCTCTCTAATGTATTTTTTGTTGGAGGGGTGTATTTTATGTTATTATTTTTTATTATATTATTATAAGTTCATACATAATATACATCAGTCTGCCAGAAATGGGCTATATGCACGCATAAGTTCCGCATTTGACGCAAGGATGCTCGTCAGTTTCCGGTTGGGGAGATTAAAGCGGTGGAAAACCGCGGGGAAAACGGGATTATGGCAGAATCTTCAAAATTTACTGTCCTCCCGTCTTTGAAACAAAACTTTCATACGTTTAGATGTAACTTTACATATAGTTTATTTAATATAATTTTTAAAAGAAGCATAAACACAACGAGGAGTGTCTGTTTTGTCTGTTTTTGTGATTAACATTTCTTTAGTTTAGCCATAGAGTATAAAAATTCAATATCAATTCTTGGTATTGTATTGGACTCTACGATCGGTGGAAGTAATCGAGCAAATACCGCCGTGCATAGAGCCCATTCAGAAGAAGACGGGAGAAACCATAAATATCTATATAACGGCTAGATCTTAAGGCGGAGTTTCTATCGTCATCACCGGCGGCCATCTTGTCACAGGTAAGCTGATGTAAGATGAGTGCTCAGCACGAACACAAATACTCTCATCTTGTTGAAATCTTGACGGATTTACAAACGGTTTGGTTTCTTACAAACGTTATTAACGTGGCTATAATTATCTGGACGATTATTTATTTATACACTTATTATTTATAAACTATGCTGTGTCATAACTACATCTCTGACGTTTATAACAAACCAAACCGTTTGAAAATCGGTAGAAAATCGAGCAAGTTATGGTTATTTAAATAGTACAGCTGCCTGTGACAAGATGGCCGCCAGGTGCAGACGTCGACATCCATTGGCCGGCAGCGTGGACGAGATATCTAGCCTTTATATAGAACATCACAGTCAAACGTAACCATAAATGGTAGACTTAAAACCAGCTACGGCTGTACTAAGCGATTGTATATGCTCATATAAACGCCAAAAGTTCATGGGGCACTAGTTTTAAGATAAATGCCTTTTATTCGCGATGCATTGGATAAGTACTTCATTACCCACAATCCAGAACAATCCCACAATCCAACAGTGATGCATCTGATTGGTGGAAGTCGTGTCACGTGTCTGAAACCCCGCGAAGGTACGTGAAGACTGAAGCTCGCGTAACAGGGCTAAGTTCATTGGTCGCACTTCTGAGACGCCCGCGCACTATTGGATGTGCAGTTGCCACAGCTTAGCTAATGAACGAGCCAGATACTCAATGTTTTTGCATGTCGAGCTGCAAATGCGTTTGCTTCAGTAAATCGAGGAAAATGAGTTTCCCTGCACATTCACTGTATAAAATTCACTGGAGGAAAAAGTTCACGTGCCCGTCGTCAGATTTGGAAGTCACTCAAAAGGCTCTTCCACGGTGGCTTTCAGACGACTTCACTTAGGCGCGGTGGTTTATGGGAGGAGTAGTTCCTTTGCTCGGAAATGAAAATATGTAGGCTACACAGGCTTGTACCCTCGACTTTTTTGGGATTTTCTCTTCGTTTTTTTCACTCGAAATGATGTGTTGTATGCTTATGAGTTCAGCCGTAGCTGATTATCCTCAGACATGCTCTAATGGGCTCTATGCACGGCGGTATTTCCGGTGAAGGATTAAGGATGCTCGATAACTTCCGCCGATCGTAGAGTCCAATGCAATACCGAGAATTTATATTGAATTTTATACTCCATGGTTACAATAAAGAAACGTTAGTCACAAAAACAGATTAAACAGACACCCCTCGTTGTGTTTATGCTTCTTTTTAAAATTATATTAAATAAACATAACTATATATCAAATTACATCTAAACGTATGTACGTTTCATTTCAAAGACGGGAAGATAGTAAATTTTGAAGACTTTGCCATAATCCCGTTTTCCTCTGTTCTCCTCCGCTTAAATCTCCACAACCGGAAATGGACGAGCATCCTTGTGTCAAATGCGGAACTTATGCGTGCATATAGCCCATACTCTTTAGATATGGATTTTACAAAATGTCAATGGGAGAAATGAATGGGAAATTTACAACAGGTGTTCTGACGGAACACCATACCCATCAGAATGGGATACCTTCGGTTAATGCGCATGCCCAGCAGTGAAATTTGTGTCACAGCGCATGCGTTAGATTAAACCATCATTTCAGCATACCAGATTACAAGCGGTAAGTGTTGGTCTTTTATATCGCATAAATTATATTCGCATTACCTTTGCATGCCTTGTATAATCACAAGAAATGTTAAGAGACGTTTTCAATACATTATTTTTTGGCAAGTGGAGTTAAAATCTCGTAACATCGTGTTAAAACGTTAAATCTGGTGTTAACGAGCTTCTAGCGTTTGGCGCCATTTCATTTGACCATAGCATCTGACCGAGATGAATACATCGACTAATGTTTTGCTTTAAAATGATTAATGCTTATTTTTTTCTAGTTTAACCATGGAAAATAAGTGGGGGGACATTTTTGATTACATTTCAAAGGGGTCATACCCTGCAGGCCTAAATAAAGGGCAGAAACAAAGCCTTAGGAAATACTCCTCGAAATTCAGGATTCAAGGTCAGTATTTACTATCAAAATACGTCTATAATACTGACAGGAATATGAACGTGTTCATATTTTGTATGATTTATTATGAGTTATGTCAATATTCCTTAAAGATGGAGAACTACTTTTTGGCAGTCACAGACGAGTCATTAAGACAAAAGAGGAGGCTATGAATTTATTTAAAGAATTTCATGCCTCAGCTATTGGAGGACATACTGGAACTTTAAAAACACGTGCTGCCATGCGCTCACGGTTTTACTGGTACGGCATGACAGTGGACATTGACAAATGGGTATGTAGTTTATCTGTTCATCCATAAGCCAACATTTGTGTTTTTATTCGTCTTTATCTTCATATTAATAGCTATGTGAAACTTACTGTTTGTAATTGAGCTCCCCCCCCCCCCCCCCCCCCCCCAGATATCTGAATGTGACCAATGTCAACGGGTGGGACCACCCCTGAATGCAGTTAAAACTCTGGACTGCATCAAGGTCACCATCTTTTGTAATTGATTAGATTTTAACAATTTTAAGCATTATTTTATTTAATCTATTATGCATTAAAATCACTAATAGGTATCTGCTGTGTGGGACCTCATTGGAATTGATCTCACTGGTCCACTCCAAAAAACATCTACTGGGTATCAGTATATATTGACAGTCACTGACTATTTTTCCAAGTGGGTGGAGGCCTTTCCTCTAAAGACAAAGACTGCATTGGAAGTAGCCAAAAACCTTTGCACAATCATTTATAGACATGGCTGCCCTAAGCGCATACTGTCAGACCAAGGACGGGAGTTCGTCAATCAAGTAATCTTCACTTTATGCATTTTGTTCTGATGTGATTTGGTGCTCAACAAATAAAGATTTATTGATTGAAATATATGAAAAAATTACTATTAATCAAATAAAAATAATGTTCTGAATTTTTTTTTTTTTTTTAAGATCAACAGCTCACTTTGTGTGCTGCTCTCTATTGAGAGGAGTGTTATAGCTGCTTACCATCCCCAAACAAATGGGCTTGATGAGAAAACCAATGATAACATTAAACGGTAAGCATTCATAATTTTTGTGTTTATTTTCAGGGTTTTGATTATTTGGTAGCTCTTCTGATCATTATTACCAGAGTGTATTGAAAGTTTGTAGTTTCTGTCTTGAAATGCATTCATTTAGAATTAATTCTAAAAAATATATTTTTCTAGGGCGCTTAAAAAGCTCGTTAATGATCAGCAGGATGACTGGGACCAGTACCTTGATGCATGTCTTTTTTCACTGAGATCCAAAATGCATACCACAACAAAATTCTCACCATTTCTTTTAATGTACGGGCGATAAGCTAGATTTCCTTCAGAAGTGCCTGTTGAACTGCCAGTAGGTTTTCTTTCTTGAAAATGGCTTTCTGTTAGGAACAAGCATCAAGTGACCAAACATTTTAAAAGATCAGCTTAGATAATATAGCTTAAAACAGTTGGGCTGTCACTTTTTACATTCGAAACTCGATTGCACAATCGATCGGACCAACCAATACAAGTTTTGAAATAGAAAATAGGGAATCGATTTTAACAGTCTATTGCCCATGAAGCTCAGCTTTATTGAAAATATGTTTAATATTTTATTGTAGATTTAATTTGGTGTAAAAGTCTATACAATGTACAAGTCATTATCTATTTTGTTGTAGCTTTCAACAATTATACTCCCTGAAGACTGCAGTGAATTTCTCAGGAACAGTCAGAGAATGCAGGAGAGCACAAGAGAAAAGGTCAAGGAGAATATTGCACGGTCACAAAAAAAAATGACCAAGGCATTTGCAAAAAGAGTTCAGAAAAAGTACAGAAATTGGAGTTTAAAAAGGGAGATGAAGTACTCTTACTGAACATGAGAAAGAGAAGCAGGAAAGGCGGGAGAATGGAAGCAGACTACACTGGAACCTACACAATTAAGGAGATTTCAGGAAAGACAGCGACTTTACAAACACCACAGGGTGTCTGTCTTAAAACAAAATATAATATCAGTCACCTGAAACCTTATAAAAAAAAGTAGTGCCAGCTCTCGGGTCCCAGTTCAAGTCAGCTCTCAGGTCCCAGCTCAAGTCAGCTCTCAGGTCCCAGCTCAAGCCAGCTCTCGGGTCCCAGCCCCGGCCAGCTCTCGGGTCCCAGCCCGGCCAGCTCTCGGGTCCCAGCTCAAGTCAGCTCTCAGGTCCCAGCTCAAGCCAGCTCTCGGGTCCCAGCCCCGGCCAGCTCTCGGGTCCCAGGGCCAGCTCTCGGGTCCCAGCTCAAGTCAGCTCTCAGGTCCCAGCTCAAGTCAGCTCTCAGGTCCCAGCTCAAGCCAGCTCTCGGGTCCCAGCCCGCCAGCTCTCGGGTCCCAGCTCAAGTCAGCTCTCAGGTCCAGCTCAAGCCAGCTCTCTGGTCCCAGCCCCGGCCAGCTCTCGGGTCCCAGCCCCGGCCAGCTCTCAGGTCCCGCTCAAGTCAGCTCTCAGGCTCCAGCTCAAGTCAGCTCTCAGGCTCCAGCTCAAGTCAGCTCTCAGGTTCCAGCTCAAGTCAGCTCTCAGGTCCCAGCTCAAGTCAGCTCTCAGGTCCCAGCTCAAGTCAGCTCAGGTCCCAGCTCAAGTCAGCTCTCAGGTCCCAGCTCAAGTCAGCTCTCAGGTCCCAGCTCAAGTCAGCTCTCAGGTCCCAACTCAAGTCAGCTCTCAGGTTCCAGCTCAAGTCAGCTATCAGGTTCCAGCTCAAATCAGCTGTCAGGTCCAAGCCAGCTCTCGGGTCCCAGCTCAAGTCAGCTCTCAGGTCCCAGCCCCAGCCAGCTCTCAGGTGCCAGCTCAAGCCAGCTTTCAGGTCCCAGCTCAAGTCAGCTCTCAGGTACCAGCTCAAGCCAGCTCTCACGTCCCAGTTTGGAGTAGTGCTCAAGAACAAGGTGCAATAGAAACTCATAAGTTAGTTCCGACCTGTTGGTCGTTGGTTTAGACCGGTTGGTCATCAAGTTGCATGTTTCTCCTTTGACCCGTTCCTGGTCATGGTTCCATGTGTTCTTTGTTGAATATGTAAATTGTACAGTTTTCATCTAAATATTAAGAAGACTAATTTGAAATGTTCTGTGTTGCAGTCCAAAAACTTTGGTCTTCTAAAGATACAGGACAAGTGGAAGCACTCGTTGGACCATACAAAATTTATGATACCTCTTTTAGAACACTATCGGGACATGGCTGGCTTTCAGATGAGGTGAAAGAAATCCATGTGATATACAAGTTTATTACATGACTTGGTAAAATTCCAATGTAGAATGCGGTCTGTTATTTCTTAGTTACAGATGCTGCAACGATAATGTAGAGTGAGGCAGTTGTTAGCGAATACCACCCCTCCAGGCTGATTAAGATTTCGCTATAACAACTGTCTCGATATACATTATACCATACTTAATGTTTCAGTGCTGTATCAAATTAAATTACTAACAATTTTATTTGTTTACACAGATCATTGATGCATACCTGCACTGCATTACGAAATTAGCCAAGGTAATAAATGAAATTTCGGTGTTTTCATTCTGTTGTTAGAAATACTGGATTTTAACAGACCAATACTGTTACAGATACCGGTGCATTGTTTGAATGCTGTACTTGGGTCCTCTGTCTTTTATCGTGGCCATTTCAGAGTTGTTCAAAAGGTAATATGGTTTAATTACAGACTATGTAATCTTATACACGTTGGGGAACTATGGATTGTAAGTGCTCTCTTCTATTTTTAGATGAAGTTACCCACAGCCTCAACTTGGATTTGTCCTGTAAACGTTGGAGGTCACTGGATTTTAGTGGTACTTTTCCTGATTCTGTATTTACCACAAACTTTATTGGTATTTTTTGGTGTGTCTGTAAAATCTTTAGGGATTGTTTTAGAATTAACTAATACTTTTTTTTTTTTATTTCAACAGATTGTCAAAATGGAAGAAAAATCCCTCCTCGTTATAGACCCCCTCGGTAATAAAAATGTGTACCAGAGAAAAATTCTTCGGAATTGGAGGTGATGTAAAACCAGCTCTTCCTACTGCGTTTGTAGACTTGCATATTTAAAAATGTGGTAACACTTTACAATAAGGTTCATTAGTTAACCATAGTTAACTACATTAGTTAACATGTACAATATGTGAACAATACTTCTTCAGCATTTATTAATCTTAGTTAATATTAATTCCAACATTTACTAATACGTTATTAAAATCAAAGGTTGTATTAGTTAACATTAGTTAATGGACTGTGAACTAACATGAACGCACAATGAACAGCTGTATTTGCATTAACTATAACATTAACAAAGATTAATAAACACTGTAACTAATGCATTGCTCATCATTAGTTCATGTTAGTTAATGCATTTACTAATGTTAACTAATGAACCTTATTGTAAAGTGTTACCGGAAATGTTTCTGAACAAATGACTTGTACAATAACAGAAATTTTTTGAAGACAAGAAATGTCAGTGAAGGCCCATGGACGATCCAAATTGCAAGACACAATCTGCAGCAGGACGATTCTAGTTGTGGTGTCTTAATTTTGATGGTATGGATATTATTGATAAATATAATTGGGATGAAGGTGTGTTACTTTACACCTACACTGACTCTTTGTAGTTTGCAGAGCTCATTCTCCAAGGTAGAAGTATCAACGTTGCTCAAACAGACACAGAGGAGGTCTTAGCCACAAGAGTCAAAATTGCAGCCACTCTTCTGGAATGCAAAGGTATCCATTAATTATCCATGTCTGACTTGTCCTTTGACAAGATACTATATTCAGGATAAATTGTGCTAAAGTCTTGCAGCAAATGTCTTTAAATTAACATTGCTTGCGTTGCACTATTTTTGTTTTTCATTTAAGACGGTGTGGAAGATCTCTGTGTTTCCTGCAACATGTTACACTTTGATGCTGAGGAGGATTTCACAGAGATGGTAATAAGACAGTAGGTTATATACTGACGAACTTGCAACTTTCACTATCCATTAATTTAGTTTTTTGTCTTATCTGATGTAAATGGGTTGGTTGAAGCTGGTGGATGATGGCGTCTTCAACGCCAACTCCACTATGATAAGCAAACTGCAGGGGGTCCTGATATGTTGCTTGGGCCCCGTCCACACTTCTGCATTTTCGTTTAAAAACGGAGAATTAAAACGAATACGATCTCCGTCCACACCAGCGTTTTATCTGCTGATTAGAATTTATCTCCGTCCACATTAAAACAACTGAAAACGCGAATCACATGACCATTCACCACCGCTGTAAACAGTGGCTGACGAATCAGGGAAGGACACATGATGACTGACACCCGTATATGACAGCCGTATATCCGTATATTTTGTGAAACAATGATGTCATGTCATGAGCTGAGCTGGTTGTCATTGACAGCGACAACAACTTCCGTGAGCCCACGCTCTTTCCTGACGTCATCAAAGTACGTCTTTTGTTATTATTTTAAACGAGTGACCCCTGGTGGCCAAAAATCGCATACTGTACGTTTAACTGGTTAATTTATGTTTTCTTCGGGAGTATATGGTTTTGGAAATTTTAGAGAAATTCTAAATTAACACATTACAATTTACCTAAACCCATTATATTTTAGTCGACTAAATCTACTATACGTTTAGTTTACAGTAGATTAATGAAATCAAAAAAGAAGAAAAACTAAAATTGCTATAATCTTACTGTATTTCGTCAACTAAAACTAAAACAATTCAGATGACTAAATATGACGAATTAGTTTTAAAACTGAATCAAAATTTTCAAAATTAACACTGATGTATGCAACTTCTCCATATTGTATTTTTCCTCTAAAGTTTCATTTGGAAACCACAATTATGTTTTTCGATGTTTATTGTTCAGGGGTCTCTAAGTTCCCCATATTCCCAGCATAAGTAGCTAGCTGATGTTAAAACACAACATTGTTCGGCAAACTTTCTTGTCGCCTACTGAAATGTTTTTATTTTTTACACCTGCTTGGCTTATCTTTAACTCATTCCACATTTGAAAAATAAATGAACACAAGTTGAAGGATTCTTCTGGCACTGTCCACTCTTTGTAGTATTCAGTAATCAGCAATTTGACATTCCTAACTGCTTTCACTAAAGCAGGCAAAACAGGCATCCTTGAAAAAGTAATATTACAATTGTCATAACTGGTTATTTAACTGCTAGTGCAGCTGAAAAGTCCCTAATGATTCTTCAATGCTTCTGAAGTTTTTTTTTTTTTTTTATTTTGTCTTTAAAGGTGCAGTGTGACATATGCTCAAGATGGACGCACAAGCAGTGTACCCCTGCAACCCTTGCCTCTGAGCATTTTAAGTGTAAAAAGTGTGTGTTAAATGAAAAATGTTTGCCTCAAACTGTTTGCAAAGTTCTATGTTGTACGTATTGTTCAATGTGTACCAAATTTGTATTAAAAAATAATTTTCAACCTGTCTATAAACAATGAATGTTTTTATAATGTGTTTTCTTTTAGTAAGATACACAGAAATAGGTTATGAAGGGTATGCTGGTAAGTGTGAAAACTAACAAAAAAAAGGATACCCCAACACTTGCTTGGGTACTGTATCTTTATTAAACCAGGGCCCATCAAGACGGCATACCCCTTTATAAACTGTATTTTTATTAAACCAGGGCGCATCAAGACGGCATACCCCTTTATAAACTGTATTTTTTTATTAAACCAGGGCCTATCAAAACAGCATACCCCTTTATAAACTGTATTTTTTTATTAAACCAGGGCCTATCAAAACAGCATACCCCTTTATAAACTGTATTTTTTTATTAAACCAGGGCCTATCAAAACAGCATACCCCTTTATAAACTGTATTTTTTTATTAAACCAGGGCCTATCAAGACGGCATACCCCTTTATAAACTGTATTTTTATTAAACCAGGGCGCATCAAACGGCATACCCCTTTATAAACTGTATTTTTATTAAACCAGGGCGCATCAAGACGGCATACCCCTTTATAAACTGTATTTTTTATTAAACCAGGGCCTATCAAGACGGCATACCCATTTATAAACTGTATTTTTATTAAACCAGGGCGCTATCAAACGGCATACCCCTTTATAAACTGTATTTTTATTAAACCAGGGCGCATCAAGACGGCATACCCCTTTATAAACTGTATTTTTTTATTAAACCAGGGCGCATAAAACAGCATACCCCTTTATAAACTGTATTTTTTTATTAAACCAGGGCCTATCAAAACAGCATACCCCTTTATAAACTGTATTTTTATTAAACCAGGGCCTATCAAAACAGCATACCCCTTTATAAACTGTATTTTTATTAAACCAGGGCGCATCAAGACGGCATACCCCTTTATAAACTGTATTTTTTTATAAACCAGGGCCTATCAAAACAGCATACCCCTTTATAAACTGTATTTTTTTATTAAACCAGGGCCTATCAAAACAGCATACCCCTTTATAAACTGTATTTTTTTTTATCAAACCAGGGCCTATCAAAACAGCATACCCCTTTATAAACTGTATTTTTTATTAAACCAGGGCCTATCAAAACAACATACCCCTTTATAAACTGTATTTTTTATTAAACCAGGGCCTATCAAAACAGCATACCCCTTTATAAACTATTTTTATTAAACCAGGGCCCATCAAGACGGCATACCCCTTTATAAACTGTATTTTTATTAAAACAGGGCCAATCGAAACAGCATACCCATTTATAAACTGTATTTTTTTTAAAACCAGGGCCTATCGAAACAGCATGCCCCTTTATAAACTGTATTTTTATTAAACCAGGGCCTATCGAAACAGCATGCCCCTTTATAAACTGTATTTTTATTAAACCAGGGCCTATCAAAACAGCATACCCCTTTATAAACTATGTTTCTTAAACCAGGGCCTATCGAAACAGCATACCCTTCACAAACAAACACTGGTATGCTGTTTTGACAATTTAGGCTAAATTGACAGACACCGCTATAAAACTCAACTTCCGGTATGCTATTCTGACAAAGTATGCTACATTGACAGAACATCGGGTCATAGGAGGGAGGAGCGAGGAGGGATATTGAGAAGCACCCTCGTTCATTCAACAGTTGACAGTCATTCAAGTTATAGCGATCCAAACTAGGTAACGATGTGGGAACACAACCTCAACGAAATTCAAAAGGGTGAAATAACAGTACCTTTACCCTCTGCAGTTACTTGGTTGGGAGTATTATAATAACATTATTAATAATCAATACTCATCAAGGCATGGTGACACAGTTGTGCGAGCTGACAAACAATTAAAATAAAAAATACACACTTAGTCATTGTGCTTTGGAGTTTATTCAAAATTATAAATGAATGTGCTGCTTGAATACATTAACTGGCACATTTGGTATTCTGTCAACACAGGCTTTGATCCTGAGTTTAGCTGTAACATCAGTAGAGAACAGCCAACCACATGCTGATAGAGTTTATAGAATATTAAGATTTTAAACAAATGTACACAGGAAGATTTGTCGTCTTTTGGGAGGTGATGGAAACTACAGTCGTTGGTAGGATCACTGTGATTTCGTTTTCAGCTTATGTTCAAAACAATCCCGTTTAAACCACTAAATTAGTTTAGTCCGGTTATACAACCGCGAACAGCACATGTTGTCCCTGAGCTCCGTAACGACATCTCTCATAAAGATTGGCGTCTTTAAATTGTAAAATAATTCTCCGAAAAACAGCTAGCCTCTTCGCTAACTAACACACAAAATACCATTGGAATGCTACTTCCGCCGCGTCACCGGAAGTTTCACCCACTTTATTTTATACAGGAGCGCCCCTCGCAAACTTGTGGATAGGAGATTGATTAAACTAACTCCTCACAGGTGTTTTGGAACCGACATACCCAGAGTAAGCTAGTTTGGGGGTTAATCAACCAAGAGTTCAAGGCTTATCTGACGGTAAGTTAACCTTGCTTTCTGGAATACACCCCTGGAGACGTATTTTCAAAACTGTCTGACATAAGTTGTTGTGGGCGTGTCTTCATTCCTGTCCAAGATCCAGAGATCAAAACTGAACAAAGCACTGCTGTGACAAGGATCATTGTGAAACAGACTTTATCAGCATTCTGTGCGTGATGGATGAAAAAGACGAAGATATAGGTGGGTAGATGTGCATATTACAGCTAACTATATTTTTTGCTGTTGTGTTTTTCCTGAAGTTTTACTTGAATATTTACTGTATGTTCACTTTCTCGGAATAGCTTACAAGAAAATAAACAATTCAAATCTGTATCATGTTGGCAAAACGGTATTTTTTAAAAAAAAAATATATATATGAATGAAGGAAAATAGACCTATAGACCATTTCACAAGATGTAAACATCACTGGTCCAGAAACACAACTGTTTCAGTTTGTAACTGTTTTCTTTATTTCACATGTAAAGAAAACATCTTAAAGATGTTTGTTTAACTTTTTGATTCAGTTTTAAATGTTCTGTTGGTTGTATTTTATCCCAGCTTTTATGTAGTGTTAAAAAACTGAAACTGGAAGTGCTTCTGGACCAGTGTTGTTTACATCTTGTGAAATGGTCTATAGGATACATTCCATTGATAGGACATAAACAGTGAAATGCGATGACGTGTGCATGTATTATGATGACACTACATTTGCTCAATAATATGGAAATGTTGTGTTTTCCTTTTGCACAACGTCAAATTAAACAGTTTAAAAAAAAAAAAAAACATTCATTCTGTATAAAGTTTGAACAAAACTTTTTCCAACACTTTAAACATTATAATAACTCGCTAATAGTCAAGGATCATGTTAGAAAGCATGTGCTCACACTGATCTGAACTGCCTCAAACATTAATCGATTCAAAAAGTGAAACTTCTCCGTGTCTTTTAGTGTATAAACATCAGTGCTCTAACTGCTATTTAATTCAATACACATTGTTTATATCACCAGATAACAGTTTGAGTTTAAAGTTTAACGAATGTCAGTTTTTATTTTGCTTTGGTAGTGCAGTTCCTTCCATGCTATCTAACTTGAGAATGATCCAAAGAGCCTCCTTACTTCAGCAAAAGGAAGGAAATATGACCTTTTGCTTTGAGTTCACATGTTGAATGACACCAATTTGTTTATTTGACTTTTGTGACCAAATAATGCATGAATCAATTAAAAAAAAAAAAATTATTATAAAGCAACATTCTATTCCTCCGGTTTTAAATGACATTTAAATGTGATTCAATGAGAAATTTCCCTTTCTACTGTAATGAGATGAAGCATAAACCTCCAGTTTGACAGAAAAGACTTACACCTAGTCTCAGACTATGATGCATAGTGTTTGAGCTGTTTTAACTGAAAGCAGCTTGAACTGACAGATCTTAAAATATGTGTCTTTGTTTTAGAAATGTTTTTATTAGATGCGTTTATAAAAGCTACTAAATGTCCCAAGTGAATTAATATCACCTAGCCAAATCCTGGCCAAATCCAAATTCATTTTTTTTTTTTTGGAGAAGAATTCTGTGAAAATTCCCTCAGAAAAGAGTTTTTAGAGAGAATTCTGATGGAACTATGCAGTCAGTCAATTGGAAGGAGTGTTAAGAAACATCTGTTAGATATTTGACATTTTGAGGATTGACACTGTTGTGAAAACAAAGTACACTTAAAGGTGCCATATGGAATAATTGAGGTAAAAATATCCAAAAAATGAGCTACACACATCAAAAGAATGAGAAGAAATAAGTGCAATGATGTCATTAAAAAACTAGCAAGTTATAGTGCTGCCGAGATATAACCTAAATTAGCATGCTAAATTATTAGCCCCGGCCCGGCAGGTGTTGTAATACCAGTTTCGGCCATGGGAGGCGGTATGCGGGCGGGCAACGTTACCACCAGCCAAACTGCAGTAACACGAGTAAGTCGCGCCGGCTTGTGTGTACTTGAACCTGATGTCATGTCGTGATGTCGTGTCGAAATACAGCCCACTACTAAATTTCAGTTCAGGGATGAGTTAAATAAATGATTGGTCGATATTATGCATGAGGAATAACATATTGTAACATATCTTTCAACAGTGTTCGTGTTCTTTTACCATTAGCTAGTAGAGATGATCGGTTCACGTGCGCTAGGGATCTGTCGTCTAACATTTACAAGCGCCAAAACTGCATTTATTGTTTGAATTGCGTAATAAAATGAACAGAATCTGAGAGCTGAGATCGGTCTCTGTGTCCTTTTCTGTGCATGACAAAATGGATGTGGCGTGAGAGTGTGTGTAAAGTTGTGTGTCTCACGGTGAATTTGTGAGAGTTGGCAGCTCTGAAAGGCGCTAGCTTGGTCCACATCAGGGAATGCTGTCTGTCAAATTAATTCAAACTAATGATAAAAAATGTAACATGAACAAAATGAATACCATAAACTAAAAATGCCTGGGCTTTAATTTTCCCATATCGTCGAAATGCACCGGCTTGTC